AATTACAGACAAAATCATAGTGGGGCTATCTACATTATCGAATTTAACTCATCTATTGTTCGAGCATTGTAAATTTCCTACCAACAAAGCCGATTCTTCACTTTTGATGAACACTATTTGGACTTTGCCTAATCTGATATATTGTTATTTTCATGAGGCATTTGTATATGAATGGAGTTACGCTCGTTTTGTCGTACCAACAGTGATTTCATCAAGTATTAAATATCTGTCTATTATTGGTGTGGATTATGGATATCAATCAGTTCGCATATTCGAGCATACACCCAATCTGAAACATCTTTTTGTATTGGCTCTTGGTAAATGGTGGAGTTTCCAATTTTCAATGCCTATTCTATCGATTACTACTTTACAATTTTCTGGAAATTCGTATTCAAAACCATTAGATCTGGTAGAATGGTTGCCCAATTTATCGAAACTGAAATTTGCTCTTAGTAATATGCAATATTATGTTTCGATCGGAGAAGAATGGGAAGATATCATTCATCAGCATTTAAAAAAATTAAAAATATTCCAATTCAAAATAGAATTCGATCTAAATGAAGATGAAAACAATGAGAAACGGATCGATCGAATGCTCGACACATTTCGAAGTCGATTTTGGCATGACGAACATCAATGGTTTATTCAATACGATTGGTGTTTAGATGAGTCAAAAGTTTGTTTTTATACTCTTCCATATGCTTTTAACGAATTTCCTCTTGATTCTTTCATTCTTTCCAAGTCAACGTGTTCTCCAAATATGTACCAATCGTCATATGATCAGGTGCATCATTTGATTTGTAATGTTGATTTTTTCAAGTACTCAACACTACTCAATAGTCAATTTTGTAACATTGAAAAACTTTCAATACGGTTTCCTATCAACGAGCAATTGTGGTTTATTATTCCAACATTCGATCGACTGGCATCACTCGACATATTATCATCTCGTCCAGATCAAAATTGTAAAAGTCAATTTCAAGCATTGCTCGATCGAGCTCCTCATCTGACTTCATTAAACATTCATGATTATTGGTTCAGTTGGCCTTCAGAAATGATAATATTCAATAAAAATAATGCATCAATATCTCAACTCAATGTTCTTTTATCTGATGTATTATATGATAATGAACAATGTATTGCGTTGTGTGATATATCTCTTGCTGCTCAATGTCAAGTACTTTCGATTCGTGTAACAAATCGAACATGTATTCTTGATCTAATCAATGGTATGAACAATCTTCGAGTGTTGAATGTTCAATGTCATGATGATCAATCAATTAAAAATACAATGTCAGACGAAGATGAATTAAGTCATTGGTTGAGCGAACATCAACCAGCATCATGTGCAATATTGGACATTGTTCGTTCTGGAAAAACTATTCATTTATGGATTCGTTGATGGAGAAAGAAAGTCGTATTTGATAAGCTATATTTCTAGGCACAATGACTATATGTTGTAACTCACTATTGAATGAAACAGGTTGAATCATATTCTTTATGCCAGAATTTTGACAACAATTACTTCAGATGGCTACTTTTTTCACTAAGATTATTTTAACCCCTCGACAAAACCTCTTCTTTCAATGATGTTGTTACAATTGATCAAAACATTATTCATTGTCGATTATAATGTCGTAAATCTTTTACTCTTTTTGGGATAACCTCATGTGCATTAGCTGACTATCATTGCATTGATTAAGTTATGAGTAAATTTTTCCGCTGAATAGTTTTTAATACATATATTTACGTAGTGAGTCCTTTTTTTTCATTAATGCAATTGTAAACAAGTATTGTTTCTTTCGTAATAAAAACTAGCAATGATTACTGATCTATATTTTAATCAAATGATTTCTTTTCTGAAAAATTTCTTCCTGATATTTTACATAAATTCCTCGCTGTCCAAAAGTTTCGATGGCCAAATATATATATATATATTGGTCTTTCAATGAATGGCAGAAAAATCTGAGCAACTCTATGTTTAATATTCATAGAAACTTTTCGATGCTGTAGTCAATAGAATTTTGTTTGAACCAGACTGATTAGTAAATCCATTTGCATTAATATACTTATGCTAACCTGATACAAAGTAGTCGAAAAGTTATTTTAGTCAAGAAAAAATTGAATACCTCCATTGTACGTCAATCAATTGGATTGATGTGTTTGTTGATGATAAAGAATTGCTGAGAGTTAATGCACATCCTTTCGTAAGTAAGAAAAAAGATGTGTCTAAACGCATTGCAATAAAGAAATAATGGATTTAAACACAAAATAGGATTTTTCTAATACTTGGCATTGAAATGCTGTTTTATACGATTTTTTAATGAATTTGTTTTTATTTTCAGCCGAGAAGTTTAATTTTCTTCGAAAAACACGACTTCGTTAAATTAATTGATTTCGGTACGAAACACGCAGAAGTATTTTGTAGACAAATCTTTAAAATCTTTCAAGTACCCAAAGACTCCTATGTCAAAATGGTAGTAGGATTCCTGTAAGGGTACTTTGAACTCAGTTTATTTAATAGAGAACGTCAACCTTATTCTTGTAGTTATTCTAGTTCTGATCGTCAAGATAACGAAATTAATCCTGTTATGAATAGTTTAACTAATCAAAAACATATACAGGTTTACCAAATATAATTAATTATGGTAGTATATTGTTGAGTAATGTTGAACATATATCACGAGAAATTTCATCAAGCATTAAAAAAAATTATTGCAACAAATAATAATGAAAATATGAAACGAAATAGTTTTGCATGGACTAGTTGAATTGTTACAATAAATCGTTGAAAATAAAACCCTGCCAATGATGATATGGATACAGATATATTAACTGCAAACGGTTTTACATTAATCAATGATTATAAAAATAGTTTATCAGTTAAATATCTTCTTACAAATCCATCACAAATATATGTACATTATTCGATATCATGTGAATTAATTGCATTTATAAACACCAATGTATCAATTATGATATGAGTGTCTCAATCAGTGGCTTAGTCAAGGGAAGAACCACTAGGCAATTGCCCAGTACTAGAAAATTTTGAATGTATCTTAGATTAGTAACAAGATTCATATGCATTTTTCTTGAGCATCCTGATCTAATTACATCCTCGCCGCAGAGTTTAATTCGAATGAAATATAAAACCTTTCAGAGCCGTTCTTGAGTGTTCTAGAGCTTTTTGCAAGTACTATACTACAGCACTACGTACAAATTTGAACTATAAAACGAGATGTTCATGAAATGTATTTCAATTAGCACCGAAGCTCGAATATATGTACCTGTTGATGCTTTCATATTCCCAATGAATCTCTAATTTTGCGCTTTTTAAATGCAAGAATATGAATGAATTTATATAAAGAAACTAAAACGATCCAATGATAATGAAATTTGAGCTAAAATTGAACAAAACAAAGAAGACTATAAAATAAAAAGAGAAGGGTGGGTCATATGCCTCTATCAAAGAGAAATTGTTTCACTTCAAGCAGAAATGTTTCAACCACATAAAGTCAGAAAGAATCGCCTTTTTAAAAACACACTACCTTCATTCAATCACATCACTACAAGAGAAAACGAACAATAACAAAGAGAACTACTCCATACATGTCTCTATTCCCAAGCAGAAGTCGAAAGGACTTAGAGAGAAATGGATCATTTTCCTTTTTTTCATCTTAAGGATTATTTCTAGTAGAAATGGATTTTTTCTATTGGAAATCGTTATTTTTTAATGAGAAATGCTTTTCTTTCTTTCCACTTCTCCTTGCTGAACCATTTCTCTTCGAAAGAAAAACGATTTTTCTCTAAATACAAGTATATGTACAATATCATATAATAGATAATATATATATATGTTATTCTTTCTTTTCATTTCTTCTTGATATGTAAGACTTTATGTGGGGTGAAGCATTTTCCCATAAAGTGGAACAACTTCCCCCATCGACTAATCCAATTGTCCACTGCAAGTGTGAGTATGACTGCTCATGTAGTTCCTTATTTTTTTCTTTCACAGCCACACGTACATCGCACGCATTCATCTCCACACCCTGAGCATCTTTGAAATATAGCGACACATTTGAAAAAAAAAACAAAGAAAGAAAGGAACAAGCCTAGCGAACCAGAGCAAAAAAGAATGCAGAAAATTCTAATATTCATCAGGAAAAAACCATCAGAATGGTTTGTTACTACATCACACTTACGAGAATTCCTAGTAAAACATCTTGTAAGCAAGATCTTGACCAAGATCCAAGGTACAGAAATGTTAGTAGATCTTGAAAAATTACGTACAAGATAATTGTATTATCTTGTAACAAGATCTGTAGTTAGATCTTAGTAACAGATATTCAAGATCTTTTATACAATAACTTGTCTTTTATGATCTTATTCACTGATCTGTTGCACCGATAATTATATCTTAGATACTAGAATTCAAGATTTCCAAGATCTTAAAAATAATCTTTTGTTTTCTCTTTATTTACTATTCCTGTTTCTATTTGAAGATACAAAATCTCTTTTTTTTTTCATAGCTGTTCACTAGTAAAAATGCTACAAGAAATTTATTCGAAATAGACGAAAAATCATTCACATAAACAAAAAAATATCTCACATTACACAAATTGGTTTAAACGAAATAAAATTACAATAAAAAACAGCATATCAAAATGAAGAAATCATATCTTAAAACATTCTATTAGTCGTAGAATTTAAAAAATATTATTTTTCATTGTTTTAAATTAAACGATTATCTAAAAAGCATTGTATGTAAATAGTTTCTATCTAAAAAAGATTACACAAGATTCAAACAAATTCTTAGCATACAAGTAAGTCTACTGTGTATCACCCTTGGCTTTGTTTTATACTTCTATAATCTGTTTGGTGCACAAAAGCCCCTTCACTACTAAAAATTTTTATTTACATCAAATTTCATACACGAACCCTTTTGAGTATTTTTTTTTCCCGTGACTACATCAGCAAAATATTAAAGAGAATTCACGTAGTTAAAGTTTCAAAACTGTTTCAATATCTTTAATAATTTTTTCTTGAATTTTTTCAAATGGTTCTTTAGTTGTATCGACAAACTTTAATTTTATGTCTTTATTTTGTTCGATTGCGTCTTTCTTTGCTTCAATATAAGCGTCCCAAACATGTTCTTCAAAATAACCTTCTGGATCTGGTGGATCATAATTTCGCTCGTATCGTCGTTTTCGACATTCTTCATATGGTAAATCAAAATAATAAGCTAAATCATATTGATAATCATCTTTTGATGAACGTACTATGTTAAATATAAGAAATCCTTCAATTAGTAAAAGATTACATTTCAAACGAATAGATTGAACATCTTTAATAAATCGATCTATATCAAGTGCATTTAAACAATCCCAATCATGATGATTAAATTTATCCAGATGTATGTGTTGTGGATCATCATTTGAACGAAAATAATCATCGAGATGTAATGACTTTACATTAAGATTGTATTTATTAGAAGAAAATACACGTTCAAGAAACTGACATATGGTTGTTTTACCACCATTAGTGACACCACCAAGACCAACAACAAGAGCAGTTTGTGAAGAAGACATTCAAGTATACTATAGTATTATCAATAAAATATTTTATATAAATATAAAGCAATAAAATTGATTTCAACACTATTCTTGATTGTTATTATTTATCATACTGAACTTTAACTTTTCTTAACCATTTTAAAAATCTCCCCTCAATAACAAACCTTTTTAAAAAAAAAAAAAAAAAAAAAAAAATTTTTCATTATTTACAGTTATGATCACCTTTGCACATACGTAAATATATATATATTCATATTCGAGCTATCATTGGTAGTTGTGCTCCGTTAGTCTATCGTCCTCTTTTCCTCTACGCAATGTGACATAAAATGGCTGACTTACTTTTAATTTCAATTATTTTTCTGCTAGCTCTCATATGTCCTTGAATTGTTTTTGATGTTTATGATTACTTTTCAGGTTATATTAAACAATTATGATATTATTCTTTTAATTCTTTCGATAACAAAATCAATGGCAGAAGGAATTATTGATTTAATTTTTGTATTAGTAAAAAATTCATTTGAATTAATATTAATTATTTATATATTGAAAGGTATTATTAATTAGATTGCCATTCGAGTTTCGCTCAAAGAGAAAATATGACTGACTGCACAAGTTCGAATACTGTACAATCAGGATCTTATAGGAGATTTGCTATTTGTAAAGCATAGACTCGCGTAGAGGGAATGATAATGAATTTCAATCGCGTTCAGTTGTTTTAGCTAAGCTGACTAGCCAGAGATGATGAATCTGAATCAGCTATTGTCATAAAAGAAAACTCTCAACGGTTCCTTATTGTTCTTCGTATCTCATCTATATAAGCCATGTTTAGGTTTCCTTGTGGGTGTGGGTATGAATATGATTCAAGGTAAGAGATTGTACCCAAAAATATCGTTAATATCTAACTAACCTAATATGGTACGCAATGACTGCTTGAACATTTTCGTTTTTCGTGCATCGATATCGATCTGTTCCAGATGAACAACGACGTCATCGCCGTCGTTTGATGTCACTGGATCCGGTGTTGGCGTTGGTATTGTTGTTGTGGATCGTTTTTTAATAATATGTGACACTACAGAAAAATAAGAATCAATATTTTTTTTCACAACTATCAAATCAATAGCTTACTGCAGTCAATATCTTCAAACACAATGATTTTATTGTTGAAATCCAAATCAGTCTTGTCATACGAATCCAAAAAGACAGTTTGTTTGAATTCATCGCAGGTACGAATGCGCGAAAGTAGAATTTCCACCAGATGGCGTTTAATGTAAGAAGCTATTGCTTTAATCATTGACGTTTTTTCACAGTCTATACGATAGAATAGAAAACACAAGTCTACTCTACTTCCTTGATATTGTTTACATTGTAGAGAGCGCTGGTTGCATATGATTGAATTTTTAACATTCTATTCATTTTCTTTGACAAAGCTCTCGCATCTAAAGAATTCGGGCTAATGCTATGATACGTTTTGTTCCAACTCTAGAAAGATGGGAGAATTCAATTTCTATTTTTATTGTTGCATCGAAGGTTTGAATGTAAAATTAGCAACAATAAAAAATTAGCGTGAAAAAAAGACTTCAGTGGAAAAAGAACCAGATTTTTTAGCTCAAAATCTTCTATCGGTAAGACATGAAAGGTAAGATAAACTAATGTAAAAGGGCATATCGAAATACTCTTTGAATTACATAGAAGTCAACTTATCAGGTGCTTCATAAAGCAAGAAGCCGAGAATGTGAGCAATACTCCGCTAATGGTAAAAGCTAGGATTGCCGAGAAAAACATTCAGACGATCGATCAGCGCCTGTTTGCCTTCATAGAAGAGATTGTGAAATAATTTCGACGTTGAAAAAAAAATTCTTGTTAAATTCAATACGAGACTTTTGATTTAGAAGAGCGAACATTAGAATATATGTAATATGATAAAAATTTTCTGGTAAAAAAAAACAATTTAAAATGATTTTTATACATGACAAAGGCGACTACAAGTTTCCCAGTAAAATTTGACCCCGGAACGGGACATATGTGGGTTTGTAGAGAAACAGTCTCTCTATCCGCCTCTACTGGGGAATGCCCATGCATTCTCAGGGGGCCTGGCACTGCGAGCGGTGCTGGGACGGCGTCCTCTGAAGTCCAGCAGCCAAAAGTCTTACTTTCGGACTAGTCATCCGTCAGTTTGACGTAAAACAATACTTGACTAATGAAAAAGAACAAACAGAAATAGTTAGTACAACTAAAATAACACGTTTTGGATCATGGAATGTCAGATCGTGTTATCGTGTCACTAAACGTGAACTAATTGTTCGTCAATTAAAAAAATATCAAATAGAGGTCGCAGCATTGGCTGAAACCAATATACCGGACTCCGGTATTTACGTAGTGAGCGGATACACGTTCATCTACTCAGGAACATTGGAAAAGGAACGGTCAAGAGCAGCTCACGGTGTAGCTGTGTGCTTGGGTCCAAAAGCATCGTATGCTTGGAGAAATTCTGGCTCCACCTGGAAAGCAGTCAACTCGAGGATAGTAACTGTACGCATTAAATGTCAACCTATACCGATTACCGTTATAGCCGTTTATGCACCAGTGAACCCTTCAAATGGCTTAAAAGCTGATGTTGAAGCTTGTGATGAGTTTTATAAAACTCTTCAATCATCAATTGATAATACTAATAAAGGCGATATCATATTGATTATGGGTGACTTCAACGCTAGAGTCGGACTAGAACAGGCTAGTTCAGCTCAAAGCGTAGTCGGTAAACATGCAGTTGACAGACAGAATCAAAATGGTCGTCGACTTGTTGATTTCTGTCTGTTCAATGGATTCGTGATCACCAACACATTCTTTCCTCACAAATCAGTGCATCAAACAACATGGATGCATCCAAAAACTAAAAAATGGCACATGCTTGACTATGTGCTTGTTAATAGAAAATTTCGAAATAGCATTCAAGATGTGCGTGCTCATAGAGGCGCAACTGGCGGCATAGGAACGGATCATCATCTTATAAGGGCCAAAATCCGTATACATCTAAAATGTCGCAAAAAAAAGGCTAAGACAAGTCGGATAAAGCTAGACTATGCAAAGTTAAACGATGAAAAAATGCTAGCTGGGTTCAAGGCGGAGCAAGTAAAACATCGTGAAAATATACAAAAAGATAGAAAAATGTTATCTGTAAACGAAAAATTTACAGAATTCGTTGACTATGTACATGAACAAGGCAAAGAATATTTCGGAAAAGATCAGGGTTGCCGAAATAGCACTAAAGAATGGTTCACACAAGAAATAGCGGATATTGTGGACAAAAAAGCTAAAGCTTACGTACAATGGCAACGTCATCGAGGTATGATTGAGGAAAATAAATATAGGAATCATTACCGAACGTTGGCCAAGATGGTTAAAAATAAAGTACAGGCTAGACAACGTGAATATTGGGAAGAGATAAGTGTTGACATCGAAAATGCAATGAAAGACCACGACCCAGCAACAGCTTTTCAAATTATACGACGCCTGCGTGGTAGTGGCATGAATACGGAACACATAGCGATTCATGATAAAGATGGGAACACGTTAACGAATAGTGAAGACCGATTGTATAGGTGGAAGCAATATTTCGATGAAATGTTCAACATAAATACAGTGGTTGATGAACAGATACTACAACAAATTCCAAAACCACCAATAGATCAAAAAGAACTCTCTCATCAGGACGCTGTACCGACTGTTGGCGAGGTTGTGAGAGCAATCCAACAGATCAGAAATAGGAGAGCTCCAGGAAAAGATGAAATACCTGCCGAACTTCTAAAAGCAGGCGGTTTGCCTCTAGCTGAATGGTTACATGAAATCATCCGTGACGTCTGGGAACAGGAAATCATGGTAAAGGATTGGACAGTAGCAGTTCTCATACGACTATATAAGAATAAGGGTGATAAACGGATCTGCGATAACTATAGAGGTATATCTTTACTAGTTGTAGCAGGAAAAATCTTCGCTCGAATCTTATTAAATCGTATCCAAAACATGCTAGACAAAAAATTGCTAGAGGAACAAGCAGGCTTTCGTTCTGGTAGATCTACAATCGATCAAATATTCATATTGAAAATGGTTATGGAAAGATCAAGAGAATTTAATCAACCACTGCACATATGTTTCATCGATTTACAGAAGGCCTATGATTCGGTTAACCGTGAAGCTCTGTGGAGAATATGTCGTGCATACGGATTATCTGATAAGATGATAAAAATGATCAAACTCCTTTATGAAGATACAAGAGCTGAAGTACGAATTGATGGCGACTTCAGTACCAGTATCCAAATGAAAACTGGCGTCAAGCAGGGATGCCTTCTCTCTCCGATCTTATTCAATATCTACATTGATTTTGTCATGCGGATAATACTTGAACAAGCTGGAGTTAAAGGCGTCACTATGAGCTATCGTCTAGGAGATTTGTGGTACTCAGGTCATGGAAATAGCAATGATATAAAGCTGTTAGCTCTCATGTACGCCGATGACATTGCTGTTATGTGTCAAAGTATCCAAGACCTAGAAAAATTTATAAAAGCATTCGACGAAATTACCCAAAATTTTGGTCTTACTATGAATATCAAAAAGACATGCATTATGTCTCTAAAACAATTTCAAAAGTCAACATGTAAGACTAAAAATAGGACAGAGATTGCTAATGTGCCATTTGACATCACCATACGCAATCAAAAAATAGAAAAAGCAGAAGAGTTCAACTATCTTGGATGCTATATATCAAAAGACCAAACACAATCTAAAGATATTGAAACTCGTGTAAGCAAAGCATCCAATGCATTCAATAGTCTCCGACGCATTGTTTGGTATCGAAAATGTATATCGATCCAAGCAAAAATAAGAATATTCAGAGCATCTGTACTTCCGGTACTGTTGTACGGAAGTGAACTATGGTCTCTAACAGTTGCTGAAGAGCAACGCTTAAAAGCATTCTATATGAAATGTTTAAGAACAATAATTGGAGTGTCTATTGGTGATCG